TCAGTCCCCGCCTGATTTCTCTTGGGTATACAGTTTTATTTCTATCAGGCCCACGGCCGTAGGATTCCAGGGCCTATTTCTGGTTCTGTGTGTGGCTGTGCTGGTTGTTAAAGCTTCTGTACGGGTCCCTGAGTAGCTGCTGCCCAGGCATCCTTCTGGGGGTGCTGGGCACCTCTGGCCTCTCCACAGTCCAGGAGCGCCAGGCTGACAGCTGGCCCAGCAGAGGGCCTCCAAGACCCTGCCGGGCACCGAGTCCCATGTCCCTCTGGCTGTTAAATGTTCTCTCACCCCTGCTTATGTCTCTATGCCACGGTCCCCAAGGCCACCCCCCCAGGTTCGGTGATCCGCTTGGACTCACAGTTCTCAGCATAGCTGTGATTTGTTCCAGTAAAAGGATGCAGAGCAGGATCAGCAAAGCGGGAAGCGCTGAGGCCAAAGTCTGAGGAAGACGAGGCATGAGCTTCCAGAGGCCTCTCCCAGTGGGGACACACAGGACGTACTTAACTCCTCCAGCAACACAATGCGACAGCACGTGTGACACGCTGTCTACCTGGGAAGCTCATCAGAGACCCCGTGCCCAGGGTGTTTTCTGGGGGCTGGTCACAAGGGCAGCCTGTGCCTGACACGGACCACGGTTCCAGACTCGCAGAAGGCAAGGGGTGTTCAGGATAAACCACGTGTTTGTACAGTTCAGGCACAACAAGCCCCTCCTACCACGGTGGTGGGAACCCTCCCGAAATCCAGGTTCCCAGGCACCAGCCAAGGGCTGACGTGTGAACAGGCCTTTCAGAGGGGAAGCCTCAGGCCCTCCATGCTGACTCTCTCCTGCGCAGTCTCGCGGGCCCGCCCCTCATTCCAGATCACAGGCTCCATCGCCTGGAGGCCTGGGGTCATCAGGGAGGCTGGTTTTCCTGCCTGGGCCTAGGATGCGGCCAGTGGCATCTGGCCTGCCACCAGGACCCCCGAGGCTTCGTGGTGGGCAGTAGCTGCCTGTTGCAGGGCCCCTGGCCATGCTGAAGGATGCCTACTTGGAGGTGACACTGTGGCCCCTGAACGAGGTGTGGCAGGAGTGTGCCCATGAGGCCACGTGGCGGCTGCAAGCTCAGGTGCCTGGGACTCCAGGCCCATCAGGGCAGCCCTGGAGCTGGTGAGGTGGGGCGAGGGGGGGATGTGGCCGTGCCCCTCCCTCTCCAGGTCGCCCGCTGGATGCTGTCTTGGGCCAAAGCCACCTTCTCATGGGCACGGGGGACACTCTGCAAGCCCTAGCTGGAGCTGTGCGGCTTCTCAGCCGGGTAACGGGGCTTGTCCTTGCTGTGTCCCTCTCCCCCAGGCTGTGCTCAGATGTCCTCGGTCTCACGGGCCCGTATGAGGACCCTGTCACGCAGGCTTTTTCAGTCCCCACTTTACAGATGAGGAAACTGGGTCTTCTTCCTTCCAAACTTATGAGCCCTGTCTCTGAGCAGGCTCCGTTTTAGGGGCTGTAGATGTAACGGTGAAGGGGGCAGATCCTTGCCCTCATGAAGACCTCGGTTTACTGGGGCGGGCGGCCACTAAACACTTGAACCAGGCACCTACACCGCGGTCGGCAAACCTGCCCTATCAGAGGCCTGAGTCGAGTTCCCAGGCTCTGTAGGCCAGAGGGTCCCTCGTGTGGTCTTTATTTTTTGTCTTTTAATCCTTTAAGCGTGTGAAAGCCACTCTTAGCTTGCAGGCCGTCCAAAAACAGGACACTGGCTGGGTGTGTCTCGCGGACCATCGTTTACCAGCCTCAGAAAATAAGGCAGGACAAGATCCAGGCGGAGGGCACAGCCAGTGCAAAGGCCCAGTGGTGGGAACGCGCCTGGCCTGCCCGAGATGTGTCCAGGAAGCCAGTGGGGCTGGAATGGAGGGTGCGCAGAGGAGCGCCGATGAGTTGGGAAGGTCATGGGTTCCAGGTGGCCTGGGGCCTCTGTGGGGACTTTGGCTTCCATGCCGAAAGGGGAACACGCACAGATTTTCAGCTGAGGAAGGATGAGACCTACCTGTCATTTCAAAAGATCCCTCCGTCCCTGGTGCTGAGCATGAAGGCGGGGACAGCAGTGGGGAGCTCCGTACCGCGTCATCCTCGGTGGTTCTGCCGAGCAGTGTGGACATGGAGGGGTGTGAGGTGGCCAGACCCTGGGTGTGTTTTAAGGTCAACCTGCAGCATTTGCCCATGGAGGGGATGGAGGTGAGGAAAGGGAGGGGCCGGGAATGGCACCAAGGCTTTTGGCCTCCACAACTGGGAGGGGGGGAGGTCCATTTATGGAGCAATGGGGATGATGTCGGGGGAGCAGACGGGGGGGGGGTTCCTCTAGCTGCTGTAGCAAATCCCCACAAACTCGTGGCTTAAAACAACACAGATCTATCCCCGTACAGTTCTGGAGCTCAGAAGTCCGAAATGAGTTTCAGTGGGTGGAAATCAAGGTGCCGGCAGGGCTGGCTCCTCCTGGAGGCTCGAGGGGAGACCCCATTCCTTGACTCCTTCCTCCGCCTCCAAAGCCAGCAGCTGGCATCTTCTCTCTTGAACTCTGAGCCTCCTGCGTCCCTCCTATAAGGTCCCTTGTGATCACACTGATCACCTAACCCAGCCCTAAATCCTTAGTCACAAAGTCCCTAGGGCCACATAAGGTAAAGCAGTCATAGGTCCCGGGGATGTGGATGTCGCTGGGGGCGGTCACTCCGCCTCCCGTGGCGGGAGTGGGCCGTGAAGAGTTCCTTTCTGCACGTGTGGAGCTTGAGAAGCCATGAGGACACCGGATGCAGATGCCCAGTAGGCCGCTGACATGCTGAGGCCTGGGCTGCAGAGCAGTGTGAGAATTGTTGGAGGCGGCGCTGAGCCAGCCTCTGCGACAGGCCTGGGGAGCGCGCACCCCTCTCCTCACCAGCAGGGGGCCCAGCAGGAAGGGTCCCCTCCTTGCCGCCAGCATCCCGGCCATGGGGAACGCTTGAATCCAGCTCTAATCAGGGCTGGGCCTGTGCGGCGCTCCTGCCCTGTGGGGAGCTGCTTGTGCTGCCACAGCCCTGGGTGCTGTCAGAACGGCCGGCTTTCGGCTCGGAGGAAGGAGGGTGTGCCAGCCAGGGCTTCCTGAAAGGGACAGTGGGGTCCTGTGGCTGGGGATGTCCCAGCAAAGGGTCCCCAGTGGATGCTGGTGCCGTAAAAGGGGTTCAGGTGGCTCGGAGGTCTTTGAGGCCTCAAAGCAGCAGGTGCCCGGGGCTTCCTGGGGGAGAAGGTCAGCGTCCCTGCTCCCACCCACGCACAGCAGAGGGTGTGAAGCATTGCTCGTCCCCTTACAACCCAGAGCGGGCTGAGGTCGCTGCTCCTTCAGATGCCACAAGGGCGGCCTGATGCCCTATGCTACATCCTGAGAAAGTTCTAGAGCCCCCCCTGGACTGTAGACCCCCAAGACCTCCCGTTCCTGCCCGTCTGTCCCTCGTCACGGAGCCCCGGCTGTGGCCCCACTGGTCCCTTGGGGTCACACACACAGCCCACCCCACGCTGACCCCAGGTCCCTGGGCGGGGGCGGGGAGGGCAGTGCACATACGCAAGCCCCTGGCACCAGATCAGACATCCGTGTCATTCAAATAAGGCACTTGTGTGTAGCCTCAGTGTCGCCTGCCAGCCCGCCTCGTCCTCCCCTGCGCGTCCCGCGTGAAGCCATTTCCTCCCTAGGAGGGGCTGATGCTCGCCGCTGGGGCAGCTTCTGGGGGACCCTACGCCGCCTTGCTGCAGCCACAGGAGGTGGGGCCCCGTCGGGCACAGCTCGTGCTCCCTCCAGGAACTGCTCAGCGGTGGTGACGCTGCCCCGGCTGCCTGCAGGGGACAAGCCCCTGGACACCGGCTGCCTGGGGGAGAAGCGGCTGCAGCGCTGAGAGCTGCACGGGACCAGCGAGCTCAAGCTCGCCTGCTGGAGGGCCCCTCTGACGGTGAGGCCTGCGCCACCGTCTTCCCTGCAGCCCCGTTCCTGGGCGCCACAGGGAGCCCTGGCATCGCAGTGCCGAGCCCCGAGGTTACTCATGGCCTGAGGTCCTGTAGGACGAGGGCTCAGCTTTCGCCCAGAATATACAAGCCCTGGGGCGCAGCACAGAGGCGTGGCGCGCGGCTTAGGTCTCCGGGCCAGCTCCTACCCAGCGGACCGTGCTGGAGAAGCAAGAAGGAGACAGTTTAGCTGGAAGGCAGCTAATTGAGTCCAGACTCGCCAACAGGCAGGGCCTGCAGCTCAGGCCTGAGGGTGGCCGGGCTCACCCCTGTGGGGCACAAGCGTATGCTGTTCCTGAGCCCATCCCGTGGTCCCCCAGGGCTGGGTGAGGACTGGTACGTCGGCGTGAGGGTCTGGTCATCACACAGCTGGGAACACAGGAGGCTCGGGGCGGCCCTCCTGGGGTCAGGGGTCGTTTTGCTATTAGGCAGCTTGGTGACCTTGGGCTGGCCTGACCGTTAGCTCCGCCAGCTGACCAAGGGGCTTGTGGTACCTGCCCCGGGCACGTGGTCCACAGACGCCCCCTAAGCTCCTGCTTAGTGGCAGCACTGTCCCCCCTTCTCGGGCCACCTTCTGCCCACCATGCAGAGAGCATCTTCCTTGTGTTGGATGGAAACTGTGGCTATAATCTTTTTTTTAAAATAGTGTATGTTTCTTTTCTTCGATAGCATCATACACCCCACCACTCACTCATTTAAAGCATACAATTTATTGGCTGTGAGTATATTTATAGAGGTGTGCACTCCTCACCAGTCAATTTTAGGACATTTTCATCACCCCAAAAGACACACCCTGCATCCCTTAGCCATCACCCCCCCACCCCTCAGCTACCACCAGTCTCCTTTCTCTCTCTCTGGATTTGCCTATTCTGGACACTTTGTATAAATGGAATCAGGTAACGTGACATTTGTGACAGCTCTTTACCCAGCAACCAGTTTTCAAGGTTCATGCCTCTATTAGTCCACTTTTATTGCTGACTTGGCTATAAACTGTTCCTCTCAGGCCCGGAGAGTTCCTGGGGGAGGCAGAGCTGGAGACAGGCTGCGTCTTGCCACTTGGGCCGCCCATGAGGACCTCAGCCACAGAGCAGGCCCTGGACACACTGGGGTGCCCTGTGGGCCCCACTGCAGCGAGCACCTACCTGCCTTTGGGCCTCTTCTCCTCAGACCACGCCGTAGGGCTGGGAGCAGGCATGAGCTGACCTTGACTGCAGGTGGGGGGTGTTGATGGGCACATGTTCTTGCTGAGCTGGGCGGGGGGCTTGGGGCTCACATCCCTGACTGTGGAGCTGGCTGGTCCTCGACCCCAGCCTGAAGGTGAGCATGTGGGTGGAGCTGGCCACCAAGCAGGCAGGGGCCCAGAGCGGGGAGACTTTCCTGTCACGTCCACATACTTATGCCCCAGACCCTTCCGGCCTGGTGCCCCACGGGGTCGGTCACTGTCCTGCTCAGCCCCCGTCTGGCCCCCACCTACAGGCTGTGCCTCTCCTCCCTGCCTGCGGAGAGCTGTCCTGGCCTTGGTCTGCTTCCGCCAAGATGAGGGACTCCCCAGGACTGCGCTGACCAGTGAGGCTGCGTCTCCATCACCTGTGACATCTGAGCCGGCCTCTGCATCCAAGGTAGGTCGGCCCCAGCTGGCAGCCTCCAGGCCAGTGGAGTCACCGTGCCTAGGCCACGGTCAGCTGCCAGGGCTGAGGCCAGCAGCTCCCGGTGACCAGCACTCAGTGTCCTAGCGAGGCTGTAAGCAGGAGGCCCTGGGCCTCTGTGGGGCCCAGGCTGCTCCTTAGGGGCTCACAGCCGGACTGGGTGTGAGAACAGCTCACAACTGGAAGTCAAAGGCCCTCTCCCCGCTCCAGGACCGACACAATGCAGGGTGACGGTTACAGCTCTGCTCCTCCCAGTGTCATCCCATAGTACAGGAGGCTTGCTGGGGTGGAAAGACTGGCTCACACGCCACAGCCAGGAGCAGCGGGGCCCAGGACGTGCCACTCACAGTGTGTTCAGGCAGCCCCAGAACAGCTCGCTCTGGCCCGGGAACACCAGTGATGAGCTGGCCTCCTGGCCACGCAGGATAGTGACTGCGGAGGGCCCAGGGGGCACAATGCTGTGCCCTCTTTCTCCTCTCCCTGTGAGGAAGGTTTGGAGCCTATGTCACGGGGTTCAGGCACCCCCTGGAACCTGGCAGGCTCTGCAGGCGGGAGGACGGGTGCTCATGGCAGGTCCTGCCTTCCCCTGCGCCCCACAGGATTGTCCGATAGCCTTCTGGGCATCAGTGACACTGAGGCCGGGGAGGAGGTGAGCGGCCACATGGCCAGCAGCAGCTCACCCTCACCTGGCAGGCCACCCCTTCCTTCGTCAGGGCTCTGGGGTCGGGGATGGAGATCGGAAACAGGGGCCTCCGATGCCTGGAGAGGGAAGTGTCAGTGTGGGCTGGCTGTGGACCTGAGCAATGTCTCCGTGGGGTCCCCCTTGCTGAGGTTCCCAGGCCTGCGCGCTCTGCAGAGCTTCTCAGGCAGAGGCGGGTGGTCGGCCCCTCCTGAGTCCAAGCTGCCCAAGAGAAAAAGGTCCAGGCAGGAGGCCTGATTTTGTGTTTGTCCACCAGGCGGGTGGCGCCTGCAGGGCCATGGAAAAGACTCAGCAGGCAGGCCCAGGACCCCCCCTCCAGCCTGGGAGCTGCTTCAGATGGTGGTGGAGGCCACTGGACAGGTGGACCGTGGGACCCAAGGAGGCTCTGGCCCCGCTCTAGCCGATGCCCTTCCTCCACCCTCCTCCCAAGGCTGTGCTGTCCGAGGACCGTGACTGTGGCTGCTGGGATTCAGGTGGACCCCACACCCTTCCTCAGCTTGTGCCTCCAGGACACCTATGGCTCCCAGGAGCTGCCCACATGCACATGTGCGCCCCCGGATCATCTTCCACAGTGTGGTAAGCTGCCCTGGCCAGCAAGCGCTCTGCCCCATGCCTGCTGCCCTCGCTGGAAAACCAGTTCCCTTCTCTTAGCTCTGCAGGGGGGAAGGCACTCAATTATCAGACAGTGAGCTAAGAGTCAACAAGTCTTAATCCTCCTTATATGCAAAGGAGTATTAAAAGAAAAAGAGGCCCAAAAGACCACCCCGACCCACACACACACACACTCCAAACCAAGTCTAGCAAGCCCTATGACCTCTGGGAGGTCAGGCAGCTATGAAGTCACCCCCTGAAAATGTATAACCACAGACCCACCATTCAGGGACTTGAATGTACACTCCCTACAATGTCTGCAACCCCCCCCCCCAGGCACACCTGCCACCAGTGCTGTGCATGATTCACACCACGGAGGCCCCACCATGCACACACGGGAGGCAGCAACTGCAGCGGACAACAGGAGACCCCTGGGAAGTTCATGACACTCGTCACGGAAGGTAAGACAGGCCTCACGCAGGGGGACGATTGTGATGGGCGCAGGGAGCACTGCAATGGGGTTTTGCAGCAGAGGAGAAAGATTGGGCTCAAGGCCAAACAAGGAAAAGGACTTGAAGACAAGGAGCAGGTGGGGGCCATTGGCTGGAAAATTACTAAGAGGAAACACCAGGGGTAGGGAGATTGTGGCTAAACTGACCTGACAGGATTCTTGCAGAAAGCAGCCCAGTGATCAGACCTCGCCAGGTGTGGACCCTGGCACATGTCAAGGTGATCAGTTACAGAGGAGGCAGAATTCTTGTTAAAGCTGGACAGTGCCTGGGTGACCGGTTAGCTCAGTTGTTTAGAGTGCGGTGCTGCTAACACCAAGGTTACCGGTTCAACCCCTACATGGGCCACTGTGAGCTGCACCCTCCCTAAAAGAGTCCTATGCTATTGCAGCATGAAAGCAATGTGTCACCAGTGACCATGGCTGTTCCCCAGTAAAATTTAAGAAAAACAAAACTGGTCGGTGCAGTCAAACACAGAAGCCTGAAAGTCGGGACCGCATTGAGATGGGAGTTCTGAGGAGCCTGGCTAGACTTTCGTCAAGGAGAAAAAGCTCTCCGAGACCTCCAGATGCTAGAATTCAAGGCTATTAGAGACATAAAAGAAATTTAACAATATGCACGATTCCAAAATTAATTTCACTGAAATTTAAAACTTGATAGATTCCACACCAGAAGAGAAAATGAATGGCTGGAAATCAGAGGGCCCAACGTGTCCACCAGAGATTCCAGAATGAGACAATAATAGAGATTTGAGAGACGTTAGTGCTCAGCTTCAGAAAGCACAGGGTGTCCAAAAGAGTATAAATAAACCCATACCATGAACTGGAACTGCAGGAAATAAAAGAACCCAAACAAGGAGGATGGAAAACAGGTGATCTTTTGAGAATCAAGGAGATAATCGCCTTCCCACCAGTAGTGTGAGAGATGACAGTGGACTCACTCTTTAAAGCATTAGGAGAAAATAATTGTCAATTTAGATTTGATGCTCAGGTCAACCAGTATTTAAGATTCAATAAGAAATAACTTCTTAGCACTATCTGAGAATGTCGTTACCACTAGTGGACACTCACTAAACCCACAGGGCCGTGCACGTTCATTCACGTGCATTCTGGCTGCTTTTGTGCTGGATGGTAGAACAAGGTATTTGTGAAAACCTGCCGGCTGCAAAGTCTGACATATTTACTATTTTGGTCCTTTACAGAAAAAGTTGGCTGATCCCTGCTGCAAACCAAGGAAGGCAGAAGGAAGGAATCAAAGAGAAATTAATGGAAGGAATCAAAGAGAAATTAATGAAATAGGAAGAAATGAGCAACAGAACAGATCAAGGAAACAAAGACAAATGAACTGGCACTAGAAATGAGCAAGGAGTCAAAACTGTAGATCCAATTGTGACTGCAAAAAGTCACTCAATAAGTTTGCTGAGAAATCTCAAAACCTAGATTAAATTATTTCCTGGAAAGATACAATCTGCCCAAACTGGTTTAACAATGTGAAACTTAAAGAATATAAAGGCTAGGGCCGGCTGAGTGGCTCAGTTGGTTAAGAGCTCGCTCAAGAGTTTGAGCTCTGAGCAACAGTGGTTCGAGTCAGCCCGAGCTGAGCAGC